AGGACATTCAGAGACCCAGTTTCCCACGTCTTCGCACGTGTTGAAGTGCCGCTCAGAACGTGCGTGTGCCATCGATGGGAACAGGTGGTCATCGGAAGGAGCAATACAACCAAACAGCACACACATCAAATCGCATATAGATCAGCATACGTGTGACTCCATCTATGGAAAAAACCCGCCTTAGTAACCGGTTCACCTAGTATTTGTGCCCCAGCCAGTGCAGCTCAGGGGTTGAGCATCAACCTATGAACCAGGAGGTCAGGGTTCGATTCCCGGTCAGGGCACAGGCCCGGGTTGTGGGCTCGATCCTCCATGCGGGGCGTGCGGGAGTCAGCCGATCCTTGATTCTCTCTCATCATTGATGTTTCTATCTCTCTCTCCCTTCCTCCCTGAAATCAATAAAAATATATTAAAAAAAACATTAATGATTAGAATCATGGATCGGCTGCCTCCTGCACGCCCCCCACTGGGGATGGAGCCCGCAACCCGGGCCTGTGCCCTGACGGGCAATCGAACCCTGACCTCCTGGTTCAGGGGTCAACGCTCAACCACTGAGCCGCACTGGCCGGGCTCTACCTACACATCCTCGCCCCCTGTTTGGAGCGGAAGTGCTCACCTGCCTCCCGCCCCCTGTTTGGAGCGGAAGTGCTCACGTGCCTCCCGCCCCCTGTTTGGAGCGGAAGTGCTCACGTGCCTCCCGCCCCCTGTTTGGAGCGGAAGTGCTCACGTGCCTCCCGCCCCCTGTTTGGAGCGGAAGTGCTCACGTGCCTCCCGCCCCCTGTTTGGAGCGGAAGTGCTCACGTGCCTCCCGCCCCCTGTTTGGAGCGGAAGTGCTCACGTGCCTCCCGCCCCCTGTTTGGAGCGGAAGTGCTCACGTGCCTCCCGCCCCCTGTTTGGAGCGGAAGTGCTCACGTGCCTCCCGCCCCCTGTTTGGAGCGGAAGTGCTCACGTGCCTCCCGCCCCCTGTTTGGAGCGGAAGTGCTCACGTGCCTCCCGCCCCCTGTTTGGAGCGGAAGTGCTCACGTGCCTCCCGCCCCCTGTTTGGAGCGGAAGTGCTCACGTGCCTCCCGCCCCCTGTTTGGAGCGGAAGTGCTCACGTGCCTCCCGCCCCCTGTTTGGAGCGGAAGTGCTCACGTGCCTCCCGCCCCCTGTTTGGAGCGGAAGTGCTCACGTGCCTCCCGCCCCCTGTTTGGAGCGGAAGTGCTCACGTGCCTCCCGCCCCCTGTTTGGAGCGGAAGTGCTCACGTGCCTCCCGCCCCCTGTTTGGAGCGGAAGTGCTCACGTGCCTCCCGCCCCCTGTTTGGAGCGGAAGTGCTCACGTGCCTCCCGCCCCCTGTTTGGAGCGGAAGTGCTCACGTGCCTCCCGCCCCCTGTTTGGAGCGGAAGTGCTCACGTGCCTCCCGCCCCCTGTTTGGAGCGGAAGTGCTCACGTGCCTCCCGCCCCCTGTTTGGAGCGGAAGTGCTCACGTGCCTCCCGCCCCCTGTTTGGAGCGGAAGTGCTCACGTGCCTCCCGCCCCCTGTTTGGAGCGGAAGTGCTCACGCAGCCTGGAGGGGCTGGGCGGCTGCGGGGTGCCTTGTGGGGGGGGCGTGTGTTCTCTCTGCGCTTGACCCTCGGGAGCGACAGCTTTGAAATGCCCTGAGCCCCCCTGGTCACCGGGCCGGTGTTGACAGCTGCCGTTTAAGAGTCTTGTAGTATTATTGTGCCCTGGCCAGTGTGGCTCAGTGGATAGAGCGTCGGCCTGCGAACGACGGAAGGGTCCCGGGTTCGAGTCCGGTCAAGGGCATGTAGCTTGGTTGCTGGCTCGATCAACGGGCGTGGGGAAAGCAATCCATGTGTCTCCCCCCCCCCCTTCCACTCGCTCTAAAAATCAACGGAAAAATCTCCTGGGGTGAGGATTCTCACAAAAACATTGGAAAGCCATCATTTTCATCATTGCTACTGTTTGCCCTGATGGGTTGAAGGACGAAATGGGGAGGGTAGGAAGGATTTAAGAGGCAAGGGAGGGTGTCCTTCCTTTAGGAGCAGCCCACAGTGGCCTGGCCGCGGAGTCATCGTCTCTGGGTGCGTCAATGCCGTCATTTCGGGGACCTCACCCCTGGGTACGGGCCTGTGGCTTCAGAACGTGGAGTTGGGTGAATTTGGCGTGGCTGGTGGCACTGGTCTTCTCCAGCCTTCGCTTAAAAAACAATAAATTAAAAAATATTTTATTGATTTCAGAGAGGAAGGGAGAGGGAGAGAGAGACAGAAACATCAATGATGAGAGAGAATCATGGACCGGCTGCCTCCTGCACGCCCCCCACTGGGGATGGAGCCAACCACCCGGGCCTGTGCCCTGACCAGGAATCGAACCCTGACCTCCTGGTTCACAGGTGGACGCCCCACCGTGCCAGCTGGGCTCCCCTCTGCAGGCTCTTTGCCGAGTGTACTATCTGTTGCTCATCACCTACTCTCGTAACTGGCTCTCTCTTCCTTCTTCTCGATTCTCTGAACTCTTTGAGGTCATGGTGTCAGGCTCAGAGGGAATGAATGAATGAATGAATGAGGGACAGGGCGGGTGCCGGGAGCGTGGGAAATGGGGAGGTCGGTGGGGCTGTGCAGGCTTGGCTGCCACTCTGGGTTTTGCAGGCATCGGTTCTGCATTCCCTTCAGAAGAGATAAAACGGTTACAAGAGAAGCGAAGTGGTTGCGTGAGTGGTTACATAATTCCTAGACAGCTCGTCTCCTGCGGTCCCTGACCCCCCGGGGGTGGGGGGTGGGGGGAGGATGCTCAGGGATCTACGCCCGACCCTCCAACACCCGCTCCGTCATCTGCATAAATAATTGCTTCTTCAGATACTTTCCTGTTGGGTTGTGATATCAATGAGGTGTGAAATACAGGCTCCCCGCGCGGCGGCGTGAATACATCCCTAACAGAACCCGTCGCGAAGAGCGGTGATCTCGGGGTGGTGACAACCTTGGGTGCAATCGGCCTTTGAACAGAATAGAAGGTACCAACGGCCTGAAATCCTGCGATAAGAATTAAAAATGTGTCGTAGGGGGGCCCCAATGCGTGCAGCGGGCGAGGCGGGGAAGGTCTTAATTTGGAGCATTTTAATGAGCGCTCGCGTGGCGAGGGCCTGCGAGGAGGGAAGATGACAGCCGGCCGATAAGGACCGGCGCTGCCGCGCGAGGAGAGCGGCGATGAGAAAAATAGGCCGATTGGAGCGTGTTTTGAGCAGATAACATGGAGCCGGAGGAGAGGAGAGCAGACGGCGGGCGGTTTGCCTGGAGGCCACGTGTGGCCCGAGGGCTTGGGCCGAGGTTGCTCGTGGGAGGGTTTCCCCTGAAGGCGGTGGGAGGACCCAGACCTCAGAGAAGTAAGCTGCAACCTTGTCTGCTGTCGGGAGCCCGGAGGGCGTTGTCAGCTGGAACAGAGGTGGCGGAAGCTCAGAGGTCCCTGCGGGAGGGGGAGTTTGGCGTGTGCCGGAGGAAGGCTCACCACCAGCGCCCGGCGTGCAGTGCCTCTGCCGTCACCAGGCTGACTGAGTCACTCCGCCCTTCCAGTGACTTCAGTCGGAAATGATGGATGCGAAGGGCTGCGTTAAACGCCAGCCAATTGGCTGACGGATCGGCTGTCACCGGCCTCCT